TTGTTTGATATTTTTGTATGTTGCCTTTTCCATTTTTGCTGTTTTGTTTTGTTTCATTATTGTTTTAGCGTCTAGGCTATAATTTCCCGTAAAGCCAATATCTGGGGTGTTTTGTCGTCAAAATCGACTCATTGAATTGATGTAGGCTAGGCTAGGCTAGGCTAGGCTACAGTAACAATAGATTTTTTTTTAAAGCGCAAGTTTAAACGTCTTTTAATAATCCCTTAAAGAATATGGGGATTCTTTGACCTCGACAACAGGGTTAGAAATACATGACATAGAGGCAGGTGCAGGCAGTTACTTAAACTCAAAGGGCTTTCTCAGCTCTTATTCATCTACATTATCTTGACTCCTCGTCAGATACAAAGCAGCTAAATCGCGCCCCTGCATCACCAAAGCCTCCCTCCTGCACTGACTTGTATTTGTGGTGACATCTTGTGATGGAGAGGCCCCGGTCGCGCTGTGGGGTGGACAGGCCGCTGAAGAGCAGGGACGCACAGGATGAATGGTCCGGCTGGTATTGTAATGCAAAGACAAAACTCCTCCCTTGCGCAGTGGAGAAGGAAGTAGGCCCAAAATATCGCTCCAGGAGAAGAATAAATAACCGTTTTCCCGGTTGAGCATTTATTCTGGGATTTTACACATTTACAGTCGAACTGAGGAGGATTGGAAATGAGGTGAATTCAAGATGGTGGATGGAATTTAGCCTAAACTGTCAGGTCCATGAAATTGCACGTGGGTTTCTAAGGTTCCTGAATTTTCAAACCCCTTTTCACTTCCTATACTCCCACTGGCTTTGATTTGTAGAAATTAGATGGGCCTATTTGTTTACGATTCACAAATTTGTACGATCATTATGGAAACTCGCGAGACCAAGAATCTAGTGCGCATCAAATGTAGCCTAGCCTACTGGACTCTGCAACCAGAATACATGCCTATTATGGATTTTCTAATTAAGGTTTGGACCTCCAATGAATATGTAGAGTATGTATTAGCTTATACTTTTAAACAGCAATTTGTGCAAAGTCGCAGAACGCTCGCGAAATCGCATACACCGGTTACTATAGTAATAATAGTATATAATAATTCGCACACGGACTAGCCTACTCTATAACTAGGCCTAGTAATAGGCTATTTCGCTTTTTTTATATATCATTCTAATATTTAGCTGACGAATTTCAGATTAATTTTTTTAGACTATTAGGCCTACATTTTAGACTAAATGTAAAGCATACATCCTTCCATAAAAGCTCAGAATCTGCATGCAGTGCAGGTTTGAGACGGTGGGGATTGTATAGAATTCTCGCTCCCTCGCTAAAGTCTGGAAATAAATCAGACAGAAGTATGTGAGGGAAGTGATAAACCATCAGCTGACCGTGGCAGATATTGTTTAGAGTGCTCGGGGACATTTATTACAGTGTGGTTATGACCAATTTTAGGAAGCTACAGCAGCTGAATGTAAAGGGCGCTAATGGCCCTCAGTCCTCCGAATGTCAGCTTCACTGGTTTTCAAGGGCATCGTACTGATGGGGATTTGGTTAACGGGAGGGGAGGGGGCCTTCGGTGCGGCTCATGACGTCACCGTGTCCCGATGTAATCCTCTCGCGCTTGAGTCCTATCAGCAGAGGAGAGCGAGCGCGCGGGGACGCGAGGAAGCACTAATCTCTCCAGAAGGGATCAGCATAACCAAGACGCAAACGAGGCCATTTAACACTGCAGCAGAAAACGATTACGATTAAAAACGGGATACAATCGATGTGCTTCAGCGGTAAACGACAGGCGTGACCCCATTGCTCGTTGCGGGATGCAGGAGGGATACGGCGGCAGCTCAAAAGATGCTCGACGGAGAAAATGGAGCATCGTGTTTACGGGGGGACTGTAGTGGGGATTCAGTCATTTCGCATGTTTTGGCGGTGATATAATTTTGAATGAGGTTGGTTGGCAGCTTTTTGTAAAATAGTTGATTGTGTATTTTGAGATTTTAAAAGTGTTTTGTTTACACTTGATGTAGTCTAAGGGGTGCACTACTGCAGAGGTCAGCAAAATGAGTGCGCGCCCTTCGGACGAATGCTACCTTCTTCATTGCTTTCTGTCGCCTGCAATGCAATTCATTGGTTTGTTCGACACCGATTCATTCATGATATGCTATATTTGGGCATTGACATCCTTTTTGAATTCCTAACCGTACTGCCACTGAGGCACAAAAATTCCAGAGACTCAAAAGAAGGAGGACAATAGCCATGGCTGCTTGAATTGAGGCTGCAGAATCATATAGAGAGCAGCTCTTAATGGGATTGAATATAGGCCACTGGTTGGCCTGCTCTGCGCAATATATGCTTTGGTATTTGACTGTGTTTCACGCGAAATTGAAATAGGAAACAATGTAGAAACACTATTGTGATTATTATTTTGTCGTCAGTGTGTTGTCAAAGCGCATTACGACCTCCCTCTTTGCGCTACTCTCTGAAGAGCAGCCTGCTCTGGCGTGCGCGCGTCGTGGAGGGTGGTGACATGGACCCCGCCACTCTGCGTGTTCACGGCGGACCTTGATTTAATATCCATACAATTAAGGCACGCGGTGAATGCCAAGAGAGGGGCCTTAAAACGGCAAACCTGTATCGTTTAGCAAAATGAGCAGCAGCACGAGGAATGCGCACATCCAGAGTGAAGACTGCGCGGTGGTTCTCGTAAAGGCAAAGAGCTGAACAGGCACCGAGGCCGCTTGGTTTGCAGGCGCATGATAAGAATATTAATTTCGGGAGCTGACAGGAATGTGAAATTCCTCTTCTAATTCAAAGTATATTATTGTTTTATTTTGAACATCACTAAGTCTATTTCTACTAGTATATGAGGTCATTTTCATATAATAATAATACAATTGATTTAAGACTATTTAATAGATGACTATTTAATAGAGTCCCACGATTTAATCAAGCCATGCAGTGTAAACAGCATGAAGAATGATGGGAATTGCTAATACATTAGACTGCTTCAAGGAACCTTGAGCACAAACATTTAAAATGTCAGCTATATATTAATGGTTTCTGTGTACAAAAGAAATCTGGTACCTCTTGCAACACAGAAAACGCAGAAAAACCCCAAGACAGATTATGGAGGTCAATAGTCTATCCTGAAAAGAATGGCATTACCTGCATCATCATGTTTTGTGAACACGGTTTGGTCATGTACTGGTAATTGTCTTTGATTTCTAATGGAGTGTACACTTGTATAAATACTGCATTCAACTGAAATATATGGATTCATTTAGATAAAAAAAAAAATAATGGCAAGATAAAGTCAGGAGGACATTATTGTGTAACATTTAGAATAGGACTTACTGTTTTCAAATATTGTGTTCAATAAACCCGTACTTCATGCAAATCTGGTTCATGTCTAGAAATCTTGCTTCAAGGTTTTTTTTCTGGGCAGAACTCTTCTTTCTGTTTAGATAGCAGCCAATCAATTCAGATGGCGCTGTACTCAGAGATTCGACTCTCATACAAGTGATAACATTTTATTTTGAGCTGTTTCAGTAATAAATTCAACATCTAAAGGTCAACAACCTAAACATCAACAACCCTTTAATATTATTTATATGACCTTTAGGAAATCATATTGCTGTTTATATGTGCCAAACACCTCTACGTTTGACCACCATGTGCTGATGTAACTACTTTCATTGGCTGTTTATTTTAATTACTGATGTTCCATCTCAGCAGTCTAAAGCAAGTGGCAGGTATTAACACTATACAACCTTTCCTGCATAAGGCTTATAGCACGATGCTTATAAAGAATGCTTGTTCTCTTCAAATCAATGAATGTTTATGAAAAGTTGGGAGTGCATAAAATATTCTTTGCACTAGTATCTGCAAATCTAAAAATGACCGTTAACACATCTTTAGAAATTTGATTGTAGATTAACTATTTAACCCTTTCAAAATTTAGGCAAAACGAACATTTATGAAGCATTGGTGATTATATTGAGATGAGGGAATTACAGTATTTCCACAGTTGTTATATTTAGCTCTACTTCAAAGCTTATTTTACAATTTTCAGACGTGACAGTGACATATATACGTGTCCTGTATTATTTTGAGACTCAAAAAAATAACAAATATACATCCATCATGTGACATGTCTTAAAATTAAACATGTTTATCCTATGTGCTCATCAAAGGTGATTTCTTAAAATCAAATCCTTTCAGGTGGGTGCGAGTAGGTTAAAAAGTGATACAAAACTCTGTTTTGGGCACCTCTGTGCAAAAACAATTAGTAGAGTAACACCACAGACAGTATTCCCAACAAAACAACTTCAAACAACAATTACACCATATAGTATTATTTTAATAATGAGCATGATCAAATCTAAGAATGTGATAGATAGTGACCTTCCAATACAATGCATATTCATTTCAGGGGTGACTTAAATGTTTGTCTTGTAACTTTTTTTTTGTAATATTTTTAGTATTTCATATATTTTCATGAATCTTTTGTTATATGACTATAGAAATCTGAAACCCTCACACGGTTCAATTCCGCTCTCCCACACACAAACACACAAAACAGCAAGCAGGTCCTAAAAAAATCACGCACAGAAACCATATACTCTTTTTTTGTTTGTTTGTTTTTCTTACTTTTAACAGTAAATCAGTAACATTAATTTTCAGGTTACACATTTGAGGCGTTCTTCGTTATTGTTATAATTATATGATCCTACGTTAAAGCTTAGCAATATACTGAGGACATAGGGGAGGAAAAAAGCGATAAAATGAAATCTGAAATAAGAAAGGACAAAGAACAAAAAAAAGGTGATGTATCTAAAGTGATTTCAAATAAAAAGCAGTGAATTGCTACATCTCTCAGATTGGCTTAAAGAAAAAGCGACCTCTGCTGGGTGGGGTTGGAACAGTAAGTAGTTACATCTCTGCTCTTTAAACATTAGGCGTGTATGGGAACAGAGTCTGAGCACTGGGCTCTGAACCGCAACGAAAACATTAGACTTTTTTTTTTTAGTCTAGCCAGTGACTATGTTGACTTCCCTTGGTTAAGGATGCATGGGATGTCGTCTCCCTGATAACGCTGTTTCAATTGAGGTATAGAACAGCCATTATTAAGCGGTTTCCGTAGCTTAAAATCTTAAGGCTCCAAGCAGGAAAAACAGAAAAGAAAAAACAAAACCTGTGACATAAGTGGCTTGTCACTGAACAAAATGTCAAGTGTTACATAATTCAAAAATATTATTTTTTTTATAACATTATCTTGTCAAGACATGTCATTGTCCCTTCTATGCAGTTGCACAATTCTCCACAAATGGGTTCAAACCACTCTGGATCTACAGAACGTAAAACTGGCCCATTACAGCTACTGATGCTGGAGATGCCCCCCAAACCAGATCGAGTCTGAACACCCCCCACTCCCTTACCTCTGGAAGTAGTTACATTTCTGCTCTTTAAACATTAAGTGTGTATGTGAACAGAGTCTGAGCACTAGGCTCTGAACCGCAATGAAAACATTACTTTTCCTTTCCTTTGTTTTTAGTCCAGCCAGTGACAATGTTGACTTCCCTTGGTTAAGGATGCATGGGATGTCGTCTCCCTGATAACGCTGTTTCAATTGAGGTATAGAACAGCCATTATTAAGCGGTTTCCATAGCTTAAAATCTTAAGGCTCCAAGCAGGAAAAACAGAAAAGAAAAAACAAAACCTGTGACATAAGTGGCTTGTCACTGACCAAAATGTCAAGTGTTACATAATTCAAAAATATTATTTTTTTTATAACATTATCTCGTCAAGACATGTCATTGTCCCTTCTATGCAGTTGCACAATTCTCCACAAATGGGTTCAAACCACTCTGGATCTACAGAACGTAAAACTGGCCCATTACAGCTACTGATGCTGGAGATGCCCCCCCAAACCAGATCGAGTCTGAACACCCCCCACTCCCTTACCTCTGCCATATCACATGACTAACATACACTCCACCATCATCCCTCCTGATACACACACATACATCACAGAATTCACTACCCACTCATTTAACCAACTCTGAAGGGCATGATGAGGAGCAGTGGGGCTGAAGAAACAAAAATATAGGACGAAATAAAAGACTTGTGCAGATATCAGTTGGTCAAAGGGGGGAGGGAGGTGTATGAAAACAATACCAAACGACAGAAAAGAAGAGAAAGAAAAAAAAGAAATCAAAATGATGACGCGACGTTGAGAGGTGCTAATCGACTTCAGCCCCCACAGGTGAAGCCGGAGGCGCAGAGGCTCGAGTCTGATGCTGGCTGAAGTCACCAGAATTAAATAGAAAAACATAATGATTGTTTATTTTTTTATATTTCATCTTGTGTCCTCTTTAAATTTAATCTTCAAATGGTCAGTCCTAAAACAACTGCTCATCATATGTAGGGGGCAGCCTTCTATTGTTTATTTCGGTTCTGGCGTTCCTGTGAGAGAAAGAAATGGAGGGAAAGTTACTTTGATGTACACAAAAACTATTTTCATTTCAAAATACTACTACTGCAGTCCAAGAATAAGAAGGCATAATTTTGTACTACTTTTAAATTCTCACACACAAGCCAGGGTTACCACAACTTTTCACCAATTAATTTCCTTTACTTGTACAGTTATTCATAATTTGGATCTTTAAAAACATTTACACTCATAAGGGGTGACTGATTTATTTATTCAGGTGTTTCATGTCAGGCCAGATTCTAAGTAGGGCTGGACAATAATTCAATATCAATATGTATCGCGATATAATTTTTTTCAATAACGGTGATATGATTTTTAAACACATTTCCGATATTTCGATATACATCACCAGTGTTTCCCATACATTGATTTATTTGTGGCGTTTGACTTCGTTGAATAAACATGAGCACTGCACGTTTCAAAATCAAAACGCGGCGCGGGTGTTTTATATGAATGTATCTCTGAAGGGAACCGACTGTCTTCAGAATAGTTTAGATGGCATTTTTATCTGATAAAGTAGCGTTCATGAGCAGAGCTGCTTTGTTTACAGCATTAATGGAGAACCCGTTAGTTCCACCGCTCACAGCGCCTCCTGCTGGCAGACAAGCAGTTTGCATTTTCAATAATAAACCCATTTCCAGCAACATGCTTTTGTTGTTGCTCTATTTTTCTAACTCGGAGCATGTTTCATACTCGTTATCCTGGTTAATGCACGTTCATAAATTTGTAGGTACAGACATCTGTTGTGGCCGTTCTTAGCCGTTTTTATGAGGCTTTTTTTTAATAGTGTTCATATCGATATCTGAATTAAATCGTATCGACCGAAATGAAGAAATATATCATGATATAAATTTTGGCCATATCGTCCAGCCCTAATTCTAAGGCAATTTTCATGTCAAGAACAGGGCAGTACATTGTAAAAATGATTTTTCAAAGTTGTAAATAAAACAAAGATTACTGGAGTGTTCAACAATAAAATATTATTTCAGTCTTTCTACTTCAAAATTTCATGTTTAATTCAATGCATTACTTCCAGTTTCTTTGTAATTATTTGTGAAATTTACTAGCAATTTCTGAGTGAAAATTGTTTCACTTCAATTATTTTTTTCCAGTGTATCAGTTAAATAAAAATAGTAAAACCATTAATAAACATATGGATAATTTACATACAGAAAGATAAAATCTATATTAGATTTTAGGTGCATTGTCAATAGGGCTGTCACGATTCGTAGATTTGATTAAGACTACTCGAATTTTTAAATCCTCGACTTCATTTTGCTCGCGTCGACTAACCGGCAAAATACCGAAAATGGCAAATTTCACGGACGAGAATCCATAAAACACATTATTAGACTGTTTCCCAAGGCTGCATGATATATTAAACCCATTTAAAAATCATAATTAAGCAGTCACATAATTGTGAATTCACAAACGCTACGATTTAATTAAATAATTATATGCGATGCAGTTCTAATACAGTATATGCCCTTTAATTATTTACATGCGTGTAGGTTAAGTACATGCGTCACACAGCGGCTCCGTTCACAGTAGTTCCACAGGAACTGTTATCATTTACATGTGTGGAGCGTCTCAAACTCCATCTCTGCATGTTGTTGTGAGTTTGGGTTTATTATAACGTTCATCTGGGAACGCAACGTGTGCCATTTCATCAGATTTGTAAGGTAAATCATTTATAAATCTACGCAAACACAGGGAATACATTGCGGTTTCAAAATAAAAGCTCAAACCCTCACTCCGAGTTTACACGGTTTGATGTCTACATATTCTTTTAATTACAGTGGCTGTAGCATTTCTGCCCTAAAGAAATGGCCAAATATTAAAAATTAAGTGGACATTTGAATTAAATGGTACTTGGTCAATATATTAAACAAATATTAGATCGCATCGCAATGTGTAAAAACAATCGTCAGGCCGTTGGCGCCCTCTGCAGGCCTTTGTTGTAATGCGTAATGTACGTTAGCTCTATTGTTTATAATACATTATGTATTTTAACAGTTTTGTTCAATAAAACCATTTGATTTCTTGCTTTTGATACTTTATTTGACCCAATTATTATTGCCTCATTGCTATTATATATGTATTTTAAGTAATTTTAAAGGCTATTGTTCGCTTACATCTATTTTTATTACCACAAAAAAAAAATTATAATTATAGGGCCCTATGAAATCAGATTTATTTCCAAATTCAGTTTTTTTCTATACTCTTTTTTTTTTTTTTTTTAATGGTTAAACTAAATTGTATTAATCAAAAAGCCCGTCTAATTAATTGAGTTTTACAGTTTTATCTTTACCAAATTCTGTTTTCCATTATTTTCTGGATTCCATTTGAATGGTTCCATTAAATTTTAATAATCAAAAGCATCTCCAATCATTTTTTTTATTTTTATTTTTTTTAAGAAATACTGCACATTTACATTTTTCTCCTAAATAAATTCTGATAAATAACATTTCTGGTAAATACTCATTTAAAAAGTGTTATTTTGATTATAATTTTATTATTAGTAGACTAGAACATGTGGATATGTTGTCATTCTTACACTATAATACTGAACTTTGGGTTCAGTGATTTGGACTATGAGATGGACACTTGCTTCTTGCACTTTACTTTTGCTTTAAAAAAAGGATTTCATAGAAATTTGGATTTCATTTGGTTTAATAAAATATTCTTAAGTAAAATTGTTGATTTTTTGTGGGAAATTAATCGTTTAGATTAATCGCTAAATTAGTCAGATTAATCTAAACAAAAAAAATAGTCGTTAGTGGCAGCCCAAATTGTCAAGCAAAATTCTAAAAGATTTCCTCTACACATTTTAATAAACAGTTTTTAGGGAATTTTCTAAGTAAAACTGTTGTATGAGATTAAACAATAGAGTTTAACAGAATATATTTTAAAGTCAAATGAGTGTTACAGGAGCAGCAAGATGAAAGTTATCTTCAATAAAAGGTGCAATGCATAGCCAGTGAAACACAAACAGAATGTTTTGTGCATAAACACAAAACATTCCAAACTTGGTCAATGTCTCTGACATTTCCAAATCTTCCATAACCATGTCAAACCTGGAAAACAATAAAAAAAAGAAAAGCTCACTTGATCAAGTCGGGATCGGTTTTGGAGAGGAGCAGGCTCTAGGTTCTGTCAGTGGAGATGAGAGAAAGAGATTAAAATCAATAATCCTTTGATACAAATCAAAAACATCAGCACTCTCTTAAATTCTTGTTGAATAAAAATCTTAATTAAATACTCAACATAAAACATTGCCAAATTAACCATATCCAGTCAAAAGCAGAAATCATTTACAGTGAATAAAACCACATTTAAAATGAGCAAAGTGGAGCCAGTTTAAGACAAATTTTTGCTTACTGTCACCAGAAATCTTACTGGTAAAATAAAATTTTATTAGCAGCTTGACCGCTACTTGATTAAAGCAAGAGCATCACACTCACAGTATTAAAAACCACCACTGAATGAAATATCAAAGACAGAACAATGAAATAACTGAAGCATCAACAGCAAAAGCAAAGAGCATCAACCATTCCAAAAACAACTAGGTATCTATTAGGGATGTGACAATTCTCAAAATTATATTGAACCATTCGGTATGTCATCCACGGTTCAATACACACTTGCGAATTGCATTTTTTCGGTTTTGCATTTTATAATTTCTGTGTGCTTTATTTCTCTCAGAATTGGCTCTGTTTGTGTGCCTGTGAGTCTATGTCAGGGATCCTCAAATCTGGCCCACAAGATTCACTTTCCTGCAGAGTTTAGCTCTAACCCTAACCAAACACACCTGAGCATGCTAATCAATGTCTTCACGATCATTAGAAAATCACAGACAGGTGAGTTTGATCATGCTTGAAGCTAAACTCTGCAGCGCATTGGCCCTCCAGGGCAAGATTTGAGGAACCCTGGTCTACGTGCTGAGATGAGGAAACCCGCTTATAATGTGCATTTGAAAAAGCAACACGCCAAACACCTTCCCTTGTAATGGCTTGCAATGAGAAGTGTTTCTAAACCGGTTGTCCATCAAAAAAAGAGAACATGATAATTTGTTTGTACTTCACAACATCAGTCGTGTGTTTGAAATAACTTCGTTTTGCGATCTGATGTGGCTTCTTAGCACAGAATGAGGCAGAAAATATATTCTATACTGTAATAAAGGCTGTGTTGATTAGCAATTGATTACAAATATATTTAATCATTATGAACAGTGTTGGGCAAGTTATTCTGAAAATGTAATCAAATTCCTGATTACTCCTTTTAAAAAGTAATTACGTTACGGGTCCGATTACTTTATTTCAAAAGTAATTAGTAATTAGTTACATTACTAGTTAAGTTACTTTTTTCTCCATGAAATTTATGAAATCCCAGCAAACACGCTCCCAATAAATATTTGTTATTAAAGCATCAACATTCACAGAACACTGTTATTTTTAACTAAAGCAAGCGGCTGCTGCGTGCATGGTTTGGCATAGCAGAATGCCAGCAAAGAGCGCTGCATTTATAATCTCAAAAAGACATCAGTTCATCGCAATCTCACAAATCTCTGTTATAACACAATAAATATATGCATAATCAATCTTTCATAATGTCTATAATTCATGTGTTATAATGAGGATTCGTGAGCACGCAAATTTCAGCACTGCATTGCTCAATGCTGCAAACACGTGTTATACCCTAAATAGAAACTCTGCATATGCTTGCACCTGTTCATCGTTTATATTTTATATTAGTTCATGTTGCTTTTGTGCAATAGATGAATAATTTATTTGTTTTAGATATTTTATGTTTAGATATTTCTATTTCGCGGAGTCCCGTGAATCATTTTATTCTCCCGCATCCCGCACACACACACGAGTGTCTACCCGCCCGCACCAGCACTCGCCCATCTTGTCCCGCGCCGCACTCTGTTGCGTCGGGTCTCGCGGGAGCAGGTTTCTAATCCACTGGCACATGACTCGACAGTGCGTGTGCTACATCTTTTTTACAATCTCTAGATTATAAAACACTGCATTCTGTCAGCAATGTAACGCGGCAGAAACGTATAGAGACCTCGGCTTGTAACTATACTCTAATTACTATTTTGAAAATTATAACGTGTTAAATTACTCTGTTACTAAAAAAAGTTATAAAATTACAGTAACGCGATACAAAGTAATGTGTTACTGCCCAAAACTGATTCTGAAAATACCCAAGATGGCTTGAAGAACACAGACAAACTAAACATTGTCGCAGTCAAGTGTTTATAGTGTTTATTTCATCATTCAAAAGGTTTGTATCTTCTTTTTATTCCGTTACAGCGATAGCAATGCCTTTGTCCATTAAAGATTTCCTGGAACGTCATGAGTTCTATTACTTTTGTGACGCATATGTGGCTACCAGTATGAATGAAACAGACATTACATGTGTTTGCAGTGCTCAATAACGGCCAATCCATCCTATTTTGGGTAAAAATAGGAAAAATAATACCTCTCTGAAAAGAAATTTTAAGTAAACGTATAATAATCCACATCTTTCTCCATTATACAGATGTTCACAGGAAGGTTTTGTTGTTAAATTGTTTAAAAAAAAAAAAATCACATTTTAAACTGCAAAAAAACACTATGATGTGCCAAGCCATCAGAACCGAACTGAACAGAAAACAGTGGTTAAAAATAGTGGTCGACCAATATTGTTTTTTTGACAGCCGATGCAGATATCTTTGAAAGCAGGGTGGCTGATGGCCAATATCATTTTTTTTATTTTAATTTATATTTAATCATTTGAAAATGGATTAAAAATAATAGTGTAAAATAAACACACTTTAGAAGACAAAGCATTTTTCTCAAATAAATAAATATTTAATAAAAATCTAATTAAAAAGGAAGTAAACACTGTAACCAACAAGGCACTCAGTATTCTGGGAAGTTTGTGTGCATTGGTAATCATTTTTATAATTTAAAAAAAAATAAAGCCAAGGTAACACTCATTTTACATACAGCACACCGTGAAAATGACATGAATATGGCAGTGGGCAAATGCATAAAGTGTAGCATAATTTAAAATCACGAGTTTAAAGTTTGTCGATCGTGCGTCTCCAGTAAAGCTGAACTCTCCTCCTGTCAGCATTCAATTCACACAGACCGACCTTCACACAGAGAACACGCGATCATGCAGGATACAAATGCACACTTCTCAAGATCTCACAAATGTATCCCACTAAATTTGCAAGGTTTTTGAAATTAGATGTTTATTAGACATTCACAGATTTGTTTAAATTATATAAATGCGTATTTGCTGAATGCAAATGAGAACGTATTATAATGTTTGCTTTTCTATTACTAATAATATAAAAGCAATCGTTATATAATTTTAATTATTTTGTTTAAATGTTCTATCTGATTATTAGATAGACTTCTATCCGTATTTAGACAGAACTGTTCACGACAACAGCGAACATAAAAACGGGAGAATGTGAGCGGTGCGCGTGCTCAGGCGCTGCCGTTCTCAGCACCGTCAGAATAAAAGTCCCTGCCTCGAACACATCGGCCAAACAGAAAAACTTATCGGCCGATGCCGATATTTGAAAAACGCCTTGCCGATATATCGGTCGACCACTAATTAAAAACCAAGGTATGTATTGAACTGTGGGCTAACTGTATTGTTGTATCCCTAGTATCTATGATCTACGGCATTTTAAATCAGCTGTAACCTTTACACTGGCAGTTTCAGTGACATGAACAGTAGCCTGAACCTTTCACATGCTGTTCAAAGTTCTTTGGTTAATCACTACTTATGGTCATTCACCTCTAAACAGAAATATTTTCCTTCAGCATATGCATCTCTAAATCTTAAAGGAACACTCCACTATTTTTGAAAATAGGCTCATTTTCCAACTCCCCTAGAGTTAAACAGTTGAGTTTTACCGTTTTCGAATCCATTCAGCCGATCTCTGGGTCTGGCGGTAGCACTTTTAGCTGTAGCTTAGCATAGATCATTGAATCTGATTAGACCATTAGCATCTCGCTCAAAAATGACCAAAGAGTTTCTATATTTTTCCTATTTAAAACTGGACTCTTCTGTAGTTACATCGTGTACCAAGACTGACGGAAAATTAAAAGTTGCAATTTTCTAGGCCGATATGGCTAGGAACTATACTCTCATTCCGGCATAATAATCAAGGAACTTTGCTGCCATACCATAGGGGCAGCAGGCACAATGATATTACACATCATTAGCTAACGATGCAGATATTATTAAGATGGCAAAAAAAAAAAAAAAAGGAAAAAAAAATTACCTTTCTTACCACCTCTTCCTCCTCCTGCCGTTTCTCGTAGTGTGAGAAGTCATCGAAGATGGAGGTGGTGTGTTTGTAGGTGGCGATGATCTTCAGCACCTGCTTGGCCTTCTCCAGAGGCACCTCCTGCGTGTCACGGGAGTTGGTCACGGGCTTGTTGTCATTGTTCTCTAGGCGGATGTGCCTGAGCTGGCTGTTGGGCACGTCTTTAACAAACAGCCAGTCCACATCGAATTTGCCCTTCCACTTGTCCTGTGCCCAAACGCCGGCACTGGTGCCGTAGTCTACAGGTGAGCGCATCTCTGCCACGCCGCAGAAGTGTCCGCTGCCATTGACACTGAACAGCAGATAGACAGGACCCTTGCCGTTGATGACGCGAAAGGCCGAATCCAGCCGCTTGTTACCGTGTTCCGTGCTGCACCAGATGGAGTACTTGATGGAGCGGTGGATGTCGTCCTCCGAGTAGCTCTTAATGATGAAAACCCGGCCATTTTTCAGGTTCCAATCAAAGTCCTTGGGATTGTAGCTGTGCGCCGCACGCAACTTTTCAAGGACCGGGTGGGATTCGATAGCACCGGAACCCGGAGGTCCGCCGCCACCACCGTTGCCGACCCCTCCGCCGCTCGACGAGCCACTGCTGTCCACGCTGCCGCCCCCACCATAACCAGGGTTGCGGTTACGTGGGGCAACCCACCGGGTTTGAGGGGGAGGAGCAGGGGTGTGGTTCTGGTAAGGCTGTGGAGGGGGCGGACCTTGCATCGCCATCTGCTGAGCAAGTGATTGGGCAGACGGTATAGGGGGCTGAGGTGGAGGCGGGAGCCCGTGATGGTGAGGCGGTAGGTGACCCTGGGAGTGGAGCAGAGGCTGCTGCTGGTGGTGGTGGGGCGGCAGTGGTGAGGCCACTTTAGTCACAGGCCCCTTATTATCCCAGGTGCCAATATCCATGTTGTGTTTGATGGGTGGTGGGGGCAGTGTGCCTCCAGCCATGGGCATCCCCGGCTTGCTCTTGACTTTCAGTTGCTGAGGCTTGGCCGGTTTGCTCGCAATGGCCGCCCAGGACGTGGGTTTGGGAGGCGGCATCCCGATTGGAGTCCCGCCGTTACCCGTGGCTACCGGCCCTCCACCGATCACAGAGCCCACCGTCTTCACTCCGGAACCACCTCCAGTCATATCACCGCCAATCTTCAACCCTACCATGCCCTGCTCTAAGCTATTCATACCTGGCGCCTTATTCAGGGTGTCGCTTGGGAAGCCCGTTTGCCCGTCAGGTACCAGGGTGCCACCTAATGAACTGGGCGGGTAACTGTAACTGCCCCCGTATGCAGAACTCTGAGTCTGCTGGCCCTGGGAGCCGCTTGTACCCCAGGCAGAAAATGCTGGGTTTTCAGGGAAAAAGTTAAAGCGGTGTGGATAGATGCTACTGCCCAGACCCCCTGGCTGTCCGAACACAGTGTCATGCATGAAGTGATGATCCCCATTGCTGAGGGGGGCGTAAGGAGTGAGGTACGGGATTGGCGGATCTCCGCCAGTGGACCAGGGGGCCTCGCTGAGGGGGTACGGGAATCCAATCGAGGGGGCATAGTAGCTAGACAGGTATGGGTCGGTCATTGATTGGTAACTGTTATTCTGAGGGATAAACATAAATAGAATTGTTAGAATTAATAATGAGAAAATGCCAACTAATTTCAAACAGCATAAAAACAGAGCAGACCTGAATCTTAGCAAACACTCCACACTTATAAGGAAATTAATTTAAACTCCAGAAATTTAAAAGCAATGACGTAGTATATTGTACAACTAGTTCCTTTTAGTAATGAACTGTGGTTGAAGTAATGTATTAGCAAAAAAAAAAAAAAGAAAATTTTCCCCAGAGTTAAAAAAAAAACCTCGGTAAAACCTAGTTGGTTAATATTATTTTATTACAAGTTATTTACTTTTTTTTTTTATGTACAGACAAATTTCCCAATGTAAAACATAGTTAGTTAGTTATTATTATTCCTCTCTTCCTTAGTAAAAACAGCAGAACAGTTATTTCAGAGACAGATAAAGTAATTCTACTTTAAAAATACTGTTTTTACATGCACAAGGACAACGCACTTGAAAAAAAAAAAAAAGAAGCATATTCAGTATTTTGTTTTCTTAAAAATATCAAAAACATGCTTAAAGGGTTAGGTCAGCCCAAAATGAAAATTCTGTCAGTACTTACTCACCCTTATGTCGTTCCAAACCCATAAGACCTTCGTTCATCTTCGGAACACAAATGAAGATATTTTTGATTAAATGTGAGAGCTCTCAGACCCTGCATAGGCAGCAACGCAAATGTAATGTTCCCAGGTCCAGAAACGTAGCAAGGACATCGGTAAAACAGTCCATGTGACATCAGTGGCTCAATTTCAGTTTTGCGAAGCTACGAGAATACTTTTTGAGTGCAAAGAAAACAAAATATATATTTTTTCAACAATTCTTCTCCCCCAAGTTACATCTTTCTTCATTTTAGAGTATCACAATGCATTCGCATGGTTTCCCATAAGCGTAAACAACGCTGATTACGTTCATGCATGAGCTTTCTCCCCCAAACATAAACAATGCTGATTACGTCGATTACGCTCTTGGGTACTCTCCAAAATGGCAGAAGATGTAACTCGGGAGAGAAGAATTGACCTATCGGTAAGCCCCTCCCCTCGAACGCAGATGAGCCAATGGCAGTCGAGTATAAGTTGCACAAGGAGCGGAACTCGGACATCTTTAGGTTTCAGCGCCATAGAGAAACATTGAAAGATCCGAAACTCGCATCGGTTTGATGGTGTTTATGCTACAAAAATGGAAAAATTATGTGCCTAGGGTGCTTATAACACTAATTCCAGTTATCCTGAGAGGATAGGCAATGAAATTAATTTTTTCATTTCTTAAAGTCAACCAAAACAGAGCAAAATGTCCCTAAGCATTCAACCCCAATCACAATGACGATGAAAACGTTCATTTTCTGGTTGTCATATTCATTAAGTTACCCTTTTCATCTGCTCAAGCAGAACATTAATGTCATCTTGTGCTTCAACAAGGTATCCCTGGCTAAAACTAGCTAACGGTAAAGTTAATGAGTCCATGCTAACGTACAAACCTAAATAGCAAACTGTTCTCACGTCATGTACCATGCAGTGAAAGTCAAAAACGCATAAACGAAGGTCTATAATAGAGTGCCTCTCCATATTAATCTGGTTAAATGTAAATTAATTTAATCTTACTCTGTGGTATATGAACGGCGTTGATCCTGCATGTTGTCATTGTGATCGTGGCGACTGTAAAATAATTCTCCCGTTTGCCTTGTGATCTGAATTTTTACATTTATTTTAATATCTTTTATATATCCCTCTGTGGCATATTTAAGGTCCCACTTGAAGGTCCATCTGTGTCCCAAATTTACCAGAAATACTTCAGAAGAAGGTTTTCCCTGACAGCTGTCATTTTAAGACAGTGAGCAACGTTTGTTTGTCCGAGTGAGCAACAGTAACTAAGGGGGTGGGGCTTACCGATAGGTCAATTGTTAAATAATGTTATTTTTGTAATGTTATCACAAAACTGAAGTTGAGCCACTGATGTCACATGGATTGTTTTACCGATGTCCTTGCTACGTTTCTGGACCTGGGAACATTAACGTTGCTGTCTATGCAGGGTCTGAGAGCTCTCACATTTCATCAAAAATATCTTCATTTGTGTTCCGAAGATGAACGAAGGTCTTACGGGTTTGGAATGACATGAGGGTGAGTAATTACTGACAGAATTTTCATTTTGGGCTGAACTAACCCTTTAAGCTGAGAAGCAAAACTGTAAAAACATAAGATGTTTTCAGAGAATACATGTTGAATGAAATGTTTTTCCCTCCATTTCTAAGACAAATACAAAAACACATTTCTCACCGGATTAGACTGGCCAGTGAGGTATGGTTCAAAGTCATTGTCATGGACCGTTTCCTTCTGATGAAGAGAGCCATTTTGCACTGAAATAAAGAATGATGTTAAACATCAGGGTTACCGTTCAGACCTGTACATCTGATAACAAACTCAAAGCACATGCTAAATCCAACAGCCTTCTCTGTCTCTTGGAAGATATCACTTTACCAAAGCTCTGCTATTCACATTTTAGATCTTCAAAAAATGTTAAACGACTACAGTAATGTGTATTTCACCACACGATCTCAGTGAGTCATTCACTACATGTTCTGCTACAGACAATAGATGAAGAGGATCATCTAAAAATTACACAAAGCCAAAGGACAAAAATTCACAACTACAGTAGTTAATGCTACAGAATTATGAAGCATAATCAATTTAATGTGTTCAAAAGCCAAGCTCCCATTGCCAATTGATGTGTCAGAGTGGTGTTAATCCAACAGGAGCAGTTCTGGACTGCTAGGAGGTATATGGCTCCATCAGGTGATTGAGCTCTCAGACAACATTATTTGAATGATATGAGAGCAACACAGCAACCAGGCATTGATATAAGTCAGAGAATGAATGCCCAAACTTGACTCAACAGCCATAGCCAAAGGCATTAATACGGGTAAAAGTGGACTTAATGTGAATTAAAGAGACTATCCTGGACGTTTTATTTCTAAACCTGTATAGACATCTATATTATAAAGCAAACTTACCTTTAGCGTCTTGCCCTTTGGATGTCTTCCCATTCAGTAGATGATCAGAGGTGGGTAAAAACAAGAAGATAAAATCATTAAAACCTTTATATTGTTGTTTTAATCACGAGCTCTTCGTGTTTAACATGTTAATACTACACAACGTTTCAGGTTCTTAATCCACATCGACTCCATCATCACCAATAAATCAATGCACTATCAGCAGTCGCTCGTCATTCGTTATTAAATAGAAACGAGGGCTTAAATTGATATTTATTTAGACAATCATGGAATTGACGTTCACCCAGATAGCTAACCATTTCGTCGACCACGTATATCAGCCCAAGTCCAGAGAAAACAGGTTATAACTCTCGGAAGCTGATGAGAGAGATTGTATACTAAATGAAGTTGTATCCTGACGGTACACTGGAGCAGAACGCATTTTGCGATGTGTCGAACGGAAATATCGGTTTAGACCGAAGAAACGCGATGTAATATTCAATACACGAGTGGAAAAAATGCTAACTCGTTAGCCATCGCGCTTGTGTGAAGCAAGCAGAAGCAGATGCCCGTAATGTCTCCGCAGAAGCGGCGGAGGCTGCACGCGTATTCCCTGCTCCTCCTCCTAAAGGCCTTAGCGACGCCGTTGCCACTCCAACCTACCTGTGGGTCAATACTGGTGGTAGACATAATTCATCAAGAGGGCCTCTTTAGGTTCAGCAAGAGTCTTGCAAAGAAAAAAGAAGCAACAGCGAGGGTGCTCGGCGTAACCCGAAGCCCGTGGGTTCCTCGCGGCTCCGTGCAGGGTGAACTGCGCTTTTTTTCAGCAAGTTCCACGACTTGATTTCGGCGATCCGGTCCTCTCGAGCGCACTAAAAGTCCAGCCTGAGGATGTTTCTGAGAGGGTCAGAGGCTCTGCGGTTTTGGGGTTTAATCCAATGTTGTCACACGCCGAGTGTAAATTTATTTCAAAGTGTATAAATATTTTTTTTCCTCTTCCCAGCCCGCAGTTATTGTGCACCTCTGTTCACTTCCGCCCAATGGCCGCTCCATCCGGGATCTGCGCGGAGGGACTGACGCCACATGGACCGGGTGGCCACGCGGAGGTGATCAAACTGAGAAAATTGGAAAAAAGCTATCACTTAATAAATGTCTTGTTTATCTTAGTAAATAATTTCATATTTGTTCTTCCTTCTAATAATTGGCTAAAGAAATGTAAAGTGTAGTATATTAAGTTAGGCTACTAAATGAGAGGGCTGTACATATTTTGTCAAGTTATTTTACCTATAATTACATATTTATCTTAATAGTATACATATGTCTGTTATAAATTATTTAAAATAATAATAAAAACTAAAAATATAGATTATGCTTTTATGTAATGAAAACCAGGGGCGGCTCTAGAAAATATTTTTTAGGGTGGCAAAGGGGTGGCATGGTTAGTTGGTTAGGTTAGCATGCATAGATAGGTTAGCATGCATAGTTTTTGGGGATTTATGGTCTGACATACACAGTTGTGTTCACAAATATTGTATTACCATTAAGTAATCATTTATACTGTTTAAAATGAAAATTAAATAACCAATTTCAATATCCATCATGGCACCAAGTCAATGCACAATATAAAAAACTTCAACAGGTTATAAATGTTTCTGAGCTTATATCACTAAAGAAGACATGCGGTATCTATTAAAATTGCATAGGCTACTTAGATGGTATAATCACGTTTAGTGCAAGTTTAAGAGCAACAAAACCTTTTTAATTTCCTAACATTAGAAAGAAATACAATAATACCAAAGCACTGAAACTGGATACATTTTGAAAACAATGTTTGATTTTCTGTTATTAACAGAGGTGG